ATTCGCTGGTGGCGCTGCAGATTTTCAAGGGTAAGAGAAGAAAATTGACACAATTTCAACAGTCTTCAAGTTCCCTCGTGGGGTTCACAAAATACCTGCATTTGTTGATCTGAAATTCAACCTGAAGGTACATCAACACATAACGTCAAACACAGTATTTATACACGAAAGGGCTCATTGGTTTATTTTATTTTGCTGCTTAAATTATCAAATGTAATCATAATTTTTCCAAATCAATGAATGAATTAAAAAAACATTAAAAAGTATGCTAATTAGCCTGGGAAATTAAAAAATATAGTTTTTTAATGTAGATCAACATGAAAACGGTTGATCTTTTCTACATATTTGTCTAATCATGATCGAATGCTTGGATTTAGGTAAACTAGGCTTTGCTGTGTAATTAATGAGAATCAATAGTTCTTATGCAGACCACTTACTTATTACTAATACTTATTATTCACAAACGACAGCAACCTGGTCACTCACCTTCTCTGCCTCCTGCTCTCTCAACACACCTATGGGCATCACCAGCAGCCCCAGTGCACCCTGGGAGTTTGGTACCAATCTGCAGTCTACTACCTAAATAAATAGAGAGAGAGACAGACACACACACACCGACACACAAATGCAAAGAAATACACGTATGAAATAGAGGCCTGATATCTGCTGCTGAAAATCAATCTGCAGGACGGGATGATGGCAAAAGCATGCTGAGGAGTTTAACCTTTGTCCCCGTGTCTTCCGTTTGTCTGAGGTAGACGCGACTCCCCGAGGAGTCGGTCACACTGACGTACTCTCCCTCCAAAGGAGGCCGCTTCAGCACACGCAGCGATGCTGGCGCCGCCGTCGGAGGTCGCCGGGGCGTCTCTGGGATTGATGCAAAGCCGCTAATATCCAACATGGCTGCGATCGACCTAAAACACACAAACATATGTGCATGTTTTTTTTTTTTATGTATTAGAGTTTAAGTTAGAAAAACAGAAATCCCTCAGATTCGACAGGTTACAAAAACTATGAAATGTTTCATACTGATGCATTGCTTTGAAGTGCCTCTTATTTGTTTTTGATCGAGTATCTTCCTTTTGCATAAAATGTATTCCCGTGTAAGTAGTCCGTGTAAAAACATCTAATCCACAAAACATCTGCCTTCCACTGATGTCTCACACTGTGTTCACCACCACTCCTACCTGTGGTTGCCAGGTGTTTCATACTGCTCAGGAGAGGACGGCGGTGTGATGTCATCACTCTGGTACGGGGTTTTGCTCTCTTGAGTCTGAATTGAGTTGAAAAGTCGCTTGGACACTCTTGCTTCCTGCTTTGACCGCTTCGCCTTCGGGGCTGCGGGTGCAAAGTCAGACTGAAGGGACACACCTCAAACACAAGAAGGACAAAAGAGCCAGAGGGGTCTCAGGGTGAACTCACTGGTGGACGGATCTGCCAGCAGGTGCTCGACGTCAGGATTGTCGCTTTTTGGAACCGGCTTCTGACGTTTCGCCTGATCGGACGATTCGCCTGAACCATTCGAGAAAAGACAGACACGTGAGTAATTTAATTATTATTAACTATGGGCTGGTTTCACTAGATTTAAACATTAGTTAGACTTGACTTAACAGACTTTTAAAATAAAATAGACAGCCGAGAGAATAGTGATTCTAGTGGTTACTAAAAGTAATTATATATTAACTTAAAGCAAACTGGGTGTTACGGGGGTTATTGTAAGGCATCCGTTACCTTCATGACAGACGTTAGATACTAGACGGTACCTACAACAACAAATCAAATAGAGATGTGCTTTGCAGTGTAGTAGAAATCTTACTAAAGAAGATGCATGGACCATTTGCGAATCATACATATATTACTGGATTATAATCATTGATGCATCATTATTACATCAAGCTTCGGGATATTTACTTTTTGTATAATGAGTCTGTAAATAAAATGTAAAAGAAACGCAGTAAGTACAAGATTTCCCCCTGAAATGCAAGGTTAGCTGGAAATATGAAAAGTAAAATGGGTTTGGAAATGGTTTAAGTTACTTAACGTTAGGTAAAGTCATTTCATAATAAAAGTACGCTACCTCGAGTTGTACTATAGGTTTATGATGAAGTTCACATGGCAGCTTTGCAGGTTGTGAAGCTTAATTGAACACTTTAAACTGAATGATGGAAAACTGATGGAAATTGTTAGTTAATTCTACATTTAACCGGGTTTTAAACCGCGCCCCTCACCTTCCAGCTGAGCCAACGCGTCCAACTCGTCGGCGAACTGGTCCTCGAAGTCGTCCTCTATCTCGAACAGTTCGTCATATTCGTCCATACCTGCTGGGGACGAGTACCCGAGACAACCGGCGACACGACAGTGCGTTTAATCTGCACAGATAAAAACTATACTATACTCTTCTTTTTTTTCGCATTCCCGTCACGACCGCAGCGGCCGATTTGACGGAGCTGCAGTTTTCCCGGCAACTTTTTTTGTTGTTTGGCATCACTTCCGGGTTAATCTAATATTCTTCTTCGTGTGTTTTCGGGCAGTGTAGACGCTGCTGAGCGGGATACTGACCTCTGCAGGATACAAAGTGACGTTTCAACTCCCCTTTCATTATTTAGACGACAAAGAAAAATATGTCATGTTATCGGATTATCTCTGATAAAAATGTGTGTCGGTCCAGTAAAATTTCCTACATTCCATGGAAATCATGTCCAACCGTTTCCCGTAGTTGAATGGCTTGGACGGACAGGATGCCAGCGCAGTAGCTGATCTTTCAAAACTGGGGATTCACAGAGAAATACATCCTCAGTTGGCTTCTTTTCCCCCATCATTCATCCCTTTCTCCTTGCATTCCTTCCTTGGTTATACATCTCAGCTCAACTCTCCTCACATTTGGGTTGATAAACAATTAATACTATATATATCCAATTTCTCGTTAGTGTGAATTTTGCAATAGAATCAACTCTAGCATCCATCAAAAGGGTTCAGATAACCATGCAATGTGGTTGACTATTTGCCTCCTCCATTCTCAAGTTACCAGCCCTAAAACAGTATGTTTCTCATTTTGCTCCTAGTATCCAATGACCCTTGCAAGAAACTTCTAGCTGGGAGGGTTTGATCAGCCTACATAGCTTTTTTCCAATACAGCCCCAACTTAATACTCAAGCAAAGAGGCATTTCTCCCACATCACTAGCCAAATGGACGCTTTTAAAAGCACCACTGCAGAGTCTTAATGCATTGGCCTGCTGATTATCTTGTTATTTTGGAATTGCAATTTGAATTTGTGTAACGTAAGATTTTGGTAAGAGATTCTCTAATTAAATTCTACTAAATGAGTCACTCATGCCACATAACTGTACATCGGCCTTACACGCTCTTCGCATACATATTTAGTCTCCATACTGTGTACATGTCAGGTTTCGCATTGATGCTACCGCCTGCTTTCACTTTATATTTTGAGAGCTGCTGCACACGCTCACATTATGTACCGTTGTGCATGTACTTTTCCTCACTTTCTTTTATCCATAAAGGTTTGTCTTTGTCTATCTTAAGAAAGAGAGAGATTGATGATGACGTGTGTGACGTCAGGAAGACTCCATCGCCACCATCTGCTCCTCACAGCAAACACACACTGGCCAACAGGTTGTTAACTTCACATCAGGAGGCACGAAAGCAAAGTCAGCTAAACTGCTTCTGTCTCTTCCTCTCGTAATGTCACTCTGTGAAAAATGTCGTGTTGAGTGAAAAAAATTTTTTTCTTCAAATCAAAGAAGTCACATTTGAAAACGTTTTCAGCTATTTATCCGTCACCGTGGTGGGATCAAAGGAGGAATTCAGTTAATTAATAAAGATTTTAAATTTTTATCAGAACTTAATTTGCACTAAAACATTTTGAAAAGCTGATTGTGATATTATATCATGTATAGTTATAAATGTTTCTTCTCCTTATGTTTAATCTATTAATAGTTATAAAAAATATTTAGTATTCGTGATATTTGATATATCAAATTTAAACTATATATACAATGACTTGCATAGTCTGACGCTAATCACATATACTTTATTTTGAAAATAAAAACACATTTTGACTCATTCGTGTTCATGGTGATTCATAAGTGACGTGGAAGACGCAAGACTATTAAGGATGTAAAATTACTAAAACTAAAATTTAATATTTAATAATATAAACTCTCGATCTCAGGAGGTTTGTCCACATGGCACTTACAAATATTTCCAAATGTTTCACAAGGTTAAATCCCACACACCATTTCTCTGTGAGGCTGTTAATAACTCTGATTACATGTATTTAAATAGATTCATTTGGTTTAGTTTCTAAATTAGAAACTGCTTATGCGCTGATGCATAAACACCCTAGAATCTTGAAAGTATTATAGATAGATAGATTTCTGAAAAATAATTTGGATGCACAATAAATATAACATGTAATCATGTGAAGAAATGCCTTTGAAAAATACACTGAATCATAGTTTTTATGAGATTGGTTGTCTTATCATGTGTTTACTGTCTTACTTTAGTAAAAACCTTCACTGAGTAATTGATGCCTTCCTAAAAGTTACTGAATGAAACCAGTTAAGACACATACAGAGTTTCTCTCTCACACACACACACACACACACACACACACAATGCATGCACACGCACTCTCACGCACACTACTTAGCACTAACCAGCAGGTGTTTGCGTGTTAAAAACACTAATGATTATAAACTTGTCATCGGCAATGATTGACCATCCGCGTGTGCGTGTGTGTTTTGTGTGCATCAGCGTGGACTCTGGTCCACAAGAGCATCTGTGGCCGCTCGGCCACCCCGCGCACTCCATTATCCCCACGCACGGCGCGCGTGTCCACATTAAGGCTGATGTGTTTAATCATCGGTTCGGCCGAAGGACTGAAGGTCTTCACGCGTATACAAGAAACGCCACGCACTCGCTTTCTGTAACAGCTCGTACGGAGGCCTCCACCAGAGAGTGTGTGTGTGCGTGCATGCATGCGTGTGTGTGTGTGTGTGTGTGTGTGTGTGTGTGCGTGCTGGATGGGGAGGTGAGAAGGGAATGCGAGGTGTTCACCTTGGTGTCTGCAGAGCAGGTCCACGCTATGAGAGGAGGCCGGTGAGAGCGACTGCACAGGTGTGATTCGACAGGTGTGCGCACGTGCGGCCGCGGGGACACGGCTGCGCAGGAATTGCGGTTTTTGGTGTGTGTTTTTTTTAAGTGTGCGCGCGGGTGAGCGTTGCCGTGGACGGCGAGGATGTCAAACTCCACCGTCAACTTCTACGCCCTGGCTCGGTCCTTCAGCTCCCCGGACATTATTGTCATAGTGACCTACTTTCTCCTCAACATCGCTGTCGGCATCTGGGTGAGAGTCAGAGCTCCATACGTTTGTGTATATGTGCACATATACACAAAAGCACACACACATGCATATATGTGTGTGTTTGTGTGTGTCTGACGTGTTCTGGATGCCCCCGTGTAACCGTGTTCTCTGTCAGTCATCATGCAGGGTGAGCAGGAACACTCTGAGCGGATATTTCTTGGCTGGACGGGACATGGCGTGGTGGCCGGTGAGTGTGTGTGTGTGTGTGTGTGTGTGTGTGTGTGTGTGTGTGTGTGTGTGTGTGTGTCAGGTGTTCCTGCTCTGTAAATTCTCACCTTTTCTGATAAAAAAAAAGCTGATCGCTTATAATAGCTTTGATATGATTTCTTGGGTGACAAGATTTAGACAAAATACATATTAATCGTGTGTATGTGTGTAAATCTCTTTATGATACTGAGAAATATAAATAATAGCACTGAAGATTAAATCAGCCTTTCTGTTTGTGATAAAGAACAAAAAGAGGCGATGCTGGTGAAAACGTTTTACAAATGTGAAAAATGTATTTTACTTTTGATACGTAAACTTTTGCTACTTTTAAGTAAGCTTATATATGCATATATTTTAACTTGTAAAAAAGCATTTTTTTAATCGCTGTGTTGCTGCTTTTACCTAAAATGTCTCCCTCATGTGCTCAGATTGGGGCGTCTCTCTTTGCCAGTTCAGAAGGCTCAGGTCTGTTTATTGGTTTGGCCGGTACCGGAGCTGCAGGGGGCATCGCCGTCACTGGTTTTGAATGGAACGTGAGTACACAAACACACACACACACACACACACACACACGCACATCTGCCCATTCAGCAAAACATCTAGTGATGCTGCTCTATCTGTTAATAGTAAACACGTTATGGAATGAAGCAGGCCTGCCAATCCAATTCAATTTCTTCTGAACTTTAAAGCATTACCGTAATGTGGCTGATTAAATAACATTCTGTAACAAAAAACTACATACAGCTGCAATGACTAATTTCTCCTTTGCAGCCCACAATAAAGAAGTTGACATAAGCATTTGTAAAAGCCATTTTACCTAATAACCTCTTTCCTGTCTGTCCGTACCAATGGTATTTATTCTGCATGGTGCTTTGGGTTTTAACTTCCTTCAATAGGCTGCAGAGGGCGGCAGCAGAAGGTTTTTAATGCTCCACAACTTTATTAAGTATAGAATATGACGCACAAGTCAGGCAACTTTGCAAAGGCTTGCACATGAAGAGCTACAGAGATCAAAGTTGATCGATGAATGGTCGCCTGCCTGCACAATCTGGTCAAAGCATCTTCTGTCCTCTGTCTGTCTTCTTCTCAGGCCACCTATGTGCTGCTGGCTCTGGCCTGGGTATTTGTGCCTGTCTACATCTCCTCGGGGGTTAGTTTACACACACACACGCTGATGTTAACAGATCTATGTCTACTTGTTCAGGCTTGTCCAGCAGGTACATCTGGGTGCCAAGACACATCATTACTCCACCTTGAAAATTCCCCAAAAGGGTGTTCCACCACACCACACACTGTTTGACAAAGAGCGTGAATTACCTCATGCTGGTACTTCACGTCCAGAGTTACTATCTGCTAATTGGCAGATTGTGTGTAGCTGCGGTGTGTTGAAAGAGTTGAAATGTGTGTGTGTTCAGATCGTGACAATGCCAGAGTACCTGGGCCGTCGATTCGGAGGAGAGAGGATCAGGACCTACCTGGCTGTCCTCTCACTGCTGCTGTCCGTCTTCACAAAGATATCAGTACGACAAAGTCGCGCACACTACTTGGTTTTTGTTTGCTTTTCCCAAAATGTAACTTCACCTGCTGTGAGAATGACTCTCTGTTGTGTTTCCGTCTGCAGACTGACCTGTACTCTGGAGCCTTGTTTGTCCAGGTGTGTCTGGGATGGAACCTCTACCTGTCCACTGTCCTCATGCTGGTGGTCACTGCGCTCTACACCATAGCAGGTGCAACCACACACACACACACACACACTCACGCAATTTCATCTGGTAAAAGCGTTACGTTGGGGAAAAGATTCCCTACAACACACGCTGGCTTCCTCGCAGGTGGCCTCGCCGCTGTCATCTACACCGACACCCTGCAGACATTCATCATGATCATTGGGGCGATCATCCTCACGATCACTGGTATGTACAGTTACCCTGATTCCTTAACAACAGCAGTTTTTCTGAGGAAGGTGTAGCTGGAGTCCTGTGTTTCCCGACCCTCTGCCCACAGCCTTCAACAAGATCGGCGGCTACGGCAACCTGGAGCGCGTGTACAGCATGGCGATTCCGAGTAAGATCATCCCCAACAGCACCTGCCACCTGCCACGCGAGGACGCCATGCACCTGTTCAGAGACGCCGTCACCGGGGACCTGCCCTGGCCCGGCATGACGCTGGGGCTCACCATACTGGCCACCTGGTACTGGTGCACTGACCAGGTACATTTACACTAACAACAAGCAGGAAAACACCACTGCAGCAGCGTCTTATGCTGCAGGTCCTCTGATGCGCACCAAAGGTTTCCCTTGGTTAAACATTTTCACGACGCACAGGTGTTACTACTGCCTTGCCTGACTGAATTTACTTGAATTCAGAGTTCAGTTTGAAATTTGAAAGTTGGCCGGATGAACTGTGTCCACTCAGCCACAGTAAATGGGGAAGGTCAAAGTTCCTTTCAGTATGACAAACGTTCCCAAAACATTTGGATGTTAACGGATAACTTTTAATTTACCTGAACTGATTGAGGAAACAACAGAGCCGAGTCAGCAACAAGAGCTCTTTTTATTTACGGCATACAGGTTTTGTCCAACATCACTGTTTGAAAATTGCATACATACCAGTTATCAACACAGTAGCCCTACCCGAACACCACCAGTAACCAATCCCAGTGACTCTAATATCGGTGGACATCGTCGTCAATGCATGTCGCATCTGTACAGGTTGGATATGTGAAAAATAATATTTACAGTAAACACTTCTGAAGCAGAAAAGCAGTTGAGGTAATTAAAACATTTTCTTTTTTAATCTGGGTGGGCAAACTACAAAATATGTCATGATCGATCCGCGCTTAAATGACAAAACTCTCGACCCATATTAAATCAAACTGCCTCCTCTTTTCGACGTTGTCAAAATATCCTTATTAAATAGTACTTGTATGTGGCAACATATGCCAGAGACGGAGGAGATTCCACACTGAAGAGTTGCCACTCCTTCAGGAGGATCAATAACCATCCTCGTGTGTAGTCTCAACAGTTCTACCGGTCAGCCTTGTTACTTTCAAACGCTGTCTTCTGCGATGAGCCCCCTCGCGCCCTCAAGTGTCTCAAATTGCTCAGTTTTGAAAGAGATACTCCTAGCAACCCTGACGGCTCGCCTACCGGCTGTGCCGAGGCGCTATCCGTCTTCCTGTAACCCGGGCTGTGTCGCCGCGGCGACCGGCTGGATCGCATCTCTGTACGCTGCTGACCGTGGTCGCGCTGGATGCCCTGACCCTGCCAGTACCGATGTCCTCCGATCACCTGGACATCCGGTCGGTTGGGGCGATAAAAACGTCCCGGTTTGGCGATGATGACTTTAGGTCCTCGACCTGGCGATTTGGAGGTGTGGAACAACTAGACGGAGAAGAGAAGCAGAGAGTGATGAGGAGCACATCGTGGAGCCCAGGAGGTGTTGCTGGAAATCCTCCATGAAGTACCTCAGGGCTCAATCCTCGGCCCGTTACTTTTTGGTCAAATTTGAATGCCTTCAATGCTTAGATCGACTTCTCTCCTGATTCCTATGATGCCATGAGACTGAGCTTCCTTTTCAGTAAACCTTCAGGCCCAAAGTAGACATCTTGTTGTTACATTTCACAATAGTGTAAATTAGCACGAATATAACATCTACACGGAACATATACGAATGTTAGCAATCAAAAATAAAGCCGATCTAGATCATTGTTTTTGCCCAAAACTGTTTAAGCTTCAACTAGATCACGATACAGATTATTCATAAAATCCCGTTTAGCGCCTTCACAGAGTTTTAAACTGGATTTTTAATATTGTGAGGATTTTTACTGCACCGAAGAACCCTTAATACTAACGATAATCACGCTCCTAAAACACATTATTTTAAAACTGCAATTGTTTTCATTGAGTGCACTAACTGTGCTTGTTATTTTAATTGGAAATGTTGAATTGCATTGTATTTGAATCTATGTATATTTCATCAAACTATTCATTTCTTTTTTACCTCTTTTGAGAGGTTAGTGCTATTATTGTTGTTATACGTATGTGTCGCTCTGTGTGTAGGTGATTGTACAACGTTCCCTGTCTGCTAAGAACATTAGTCATGTGAAAGGAGCATCGATCCTGGCTGCTTATCTGAAGATGCTGCCCTTCATCTTCATCATCCTCCCTGGCATGATCAGCCGAGCTCTCTATCCAGGTGCGTGCAAACACATGTGGGCTGACAATTTGACATTTGAACACAAGGAATGCCGTTAACCATGAGCAGGTAGTGGCTTGCTTTTGAACTGTTTCTGAAACGCACCCTCTCTAGTGGGATTCATTTAAACGTTCGTAAGAAACATCATTCCTAGGAACCTCTGCCATGTTAGTGATGACTCACTTTCACTTTTCAGTTCCTGATAAAAATGGTTTAGTCTTCAAAATAAAAGAGAACGGTGAACAATTCAAGACCCGGGTTTGGGATCAACAGTCTAAAAAAGGAAATCAAAATATTTACATAGTACGTTATCAAAATGCAAAAACTGCATTCGACAACCTGGATTTAGTGGTATTTTTAAATGACATAAAAATGGTGATTTATGGCCATGAATTATCTTTCCACTGAATAAGTGAGTTATATATTGTGCTATATGGGGAAGTTTTTACCATTGTATACTATAATACCTGCCCAATGTGCCTACGAGGGGACCGGTGTCCTTGTTGGCGGAGCTGCTGTGATTGGCGGATGAGGGCACTGCCCTCCTCTGACTGGCTGGTCTGCCGCAGATCCAGCATGCTCTGGGAGAGGCGGGCCATCACGTTGACCCCGTCACCGAGGCGATGCCCGCGCCCGGACCCCGTGGTCGCCCCGTTGACCATCGGGTCGCTCAGCTCCGACTGGGTACATTCATAGAACTCCTCCTCCGATGCCGTGGAGTTGCTTGAAGGAGCCTCGTTGGCCGCCCGGTCGCACATGACCTTTACGCTGTCCAGGCTGCCCTCGCCCGTGCTGCCAGAGTCCCTGCCGTCGTCCTTCGGCGCCATCCGGCCCCGGGCGGGCGCCGGCTCCTCGTGGGCTCCCTTTTCGGCGAAACCCTCCGGACCATCCAACTGGTCCATTTTCATCAAGGAGACCTGTGGTTGGTCCGGCTGCTCTGAGGGGGCGGGGTGTATGACTAACTGCAGCGTGCGGCGTTTAGGAATAGGAGGCGCTACGGGCTCAGTCGCTGGAGTTTGCTGATCATCGTTTGTAGGCTTTGCATCAGGAGAGACTTGGGGCGGTGATGGTGCGGTCGGTGTGCGTGTGACCGGTGTTGAAGGCGCGCTGGGCTGCCGGGGGGGCTCACTGGAACCTGTTGCATCAGTTTGATCTTCATTCGGAGCGGTGTGCGTTTTCTCCTTGGGTTGTTTGCCTGTGGGACTCACAGCAGCAGAGGCGTCTGCACTCGTGTCGCCGGGGGGATCTTCTGCTCCTCCGGCAGCCTTTGCATCTCCAGCTGAAGACGGTTCCTCAGTCTTGGCTGGTAGAAAAAGTGGTGCACTGAAGCGTATTGCCTGGCTGGTCTCAAACCGCTCCGACCTCTGTAAGTGAACCTGATTGGCTCGCTTTTCATCCCTAATGTTGATGAAGCCAATCACGTCGCTTGGCGGGTCCGGCTCCGGCCAGGTGGGCAGGTAAGGGATCAGGTACACTTTCTCCAGGTGGGCTAATCCCGGATGTAAAGGTTGCTCCTCAACGACATGTCTAAGGCGTTTTTTCATAACCTTAAGCCCATTGGGATTCTGGGAGTTCCTGTTGCTGGAGTTTTGGTCGGAAGAGGTGGGACTTGTGTAGTTTCCCGTGGCAACAAGGGCGTATTTTGGATTGACGAGCTTCCTAGCAACAGCGGCTGACACCGGAGCAGGAGCCGAGTAGAGGACCAGTTCGGGGGTCGGCTCATCGACCATGGGGACCTTGTTCAGAGACACGCCTCTGGACACGAGGTAAAGGTTACAGAACTCCAGGTCGAATGTCTCCACCGCCTGTCCCGTGATCACGGTGATGAGGTTCCGGTCCAAACGAGATGAGGACCAAGTGAAGCTGGAGGAACAAAGACATGGAAACATTCACAGCGATTCACAGCGGTGACTCCATTATTTACGGGATTATCTGACTAAATTTGTCCTGGTTCCTGTTTTTAGCAGCTACATTCTTTCTTTTTGGTCACAACTTGTGCAGTCAAAACTAGTTTTATCGTCACACCAAATATTTGTACCCCAAGGTCACGTATAGTGTTATGCTCTGTGCATGATCTCTTCACGCCTCTCTGTCTAATCTTTAAGGTTACGAGAGCACAGAGTAAATGTAGACAAAGAAGACAAACCAACGGTTTGCGTATTGTTGTACAAAATGCTGCTGCTGCATACCACAACAATGCCATAGTTGCAACATGCCCAAGGAAAAGACATTGGGTAACCCAAACTGGAGTTGAGTTATTCTCATGTGATTATAACATAAGTTTAATTCATTTACAAATGTTTTTGTTTTTAAGGACATTGGGCAATATTGGTGAAAAACGTGGCTTTAAGCCAATTTGATCTCAGTGTTCCAGACGTTATGAAACTATGCGGCCAGCAGTTGCTTATTTACGCTTCCAGCAGACGTGGATCAACACGCGCATTAAATCAATGCTGTGTTTTTGACTCCCCGGCAAGCATTCCTTTGGATGCTAAATGTTTCTCTGCAGTTTAATGCAAAGTTTAACTTTTAATATTTTTAAGATAAAAACTGGAGGAAAAAAAAAAAGTCAGTAAAGTTGCGAGCCACGAAAAATGAAAACAGTGAGCTGAAAGATGCACAAATGCTCCTTAAAGCTGTGTGGGGTTTGTCTCTTTGTGCACGGCCCTTTCACATATCAGTCATACACATACATGTCAATACAAGAGTAAGGATTAGGGACACAAACTGCTGACCTGTAGGAGCCGGAGATGGCTCTGTCTCCGTCTATCAGGAGGAACTTCTGGCTCAGTGATCCGCGCACCTTCTGTGCCGTCCGTGTGAAGAACTCCACGCCGCCACAGCTGCGAACGCGCAGATTCTAAAGGCACAACCACAAAAACACACACGCAGGATTAATGGAGAAGTGGGGAGACGGCTCTTGGATTTACATTTGATGGGAGGAAGAATATTGGTGAAGAAAAAAAGGGAAATGAAGGTGACCTACAAGACCAGGAAAAAAAACAGGAAATAGTTCTTCTCCATTAATGGCGCCATTGAGTTGTGTTGGCTGACTCTGCAGCTTGGAGCATGGACCGCATGCATGTGCATGCTTGTGTGACACACCCTGCAGTGTTGGTCTTTGGCCAAGTGATAAGGGTGTGGTTGCTAGCTGAGCGTTACCTCCTACATAAATGTTTCGTGTGAAATCCCACAAGGGACGTGAGGCACAAGAGGCGTATAAGGTCGTAACAACAGCGGAGGAGGCAGACGAGAAAAGATGTTAAGCGAGAGGCGAGGCCTGGCGGGGTGACGGAAGAACGAGATATGAAACAGAAACGTTTAAAAACATTAAGTGTGTTCTGTCCCTGCACAGACAGATGGATCCCACAGGAGAAAGTATTCAGCCAAACATCCGGCTGCTGCATGATCTTCTCTGCCTGCAGGCAAAAACCTGTTTATCAAGCGAGTTCCCGTCTTTCATGTATTCATTTTGTATTGAAATTTACTTATTTTTGGAAATAGATGATCTTAATCACAAACTAATGAGACATATTTTATTTGAAACGTTGGAACTGCAGCTTTTTGCGGGTTAGTTTTCTATTATTATATGCTTATCCGGAGCAGCCATCTGTCCAAAGAGCTCATCAGCAGGTTTATCAAAACATCTGTGTGTGTGTGTGTGTGTGTGTGTGTGTGTGTGTGTGTGTGTGCGTGTGTGTGCATGCATACCTTTAGGTGTCCACTGTGCATATCAGCTCTGCCACACATGGAAAGAAAGCAGGGGACCGAAGCCACGTCAATGATAATGTACACAGGAACTTTGCGTTTGTAGGACGCATCCAGCAGGTCTCGAAAGATATCCACGTCTGTAAATACATCCATCACCACGGCAATCACCTACACACACACACACACACACACACAAAATAGAGGGAGGAAACCACACAAGGCGTTAGTCTTTCCTGGTCGGTGAAGGCGGGTTTGATTTAACAATATTACCCCCTATTAAATGCACAAACGAAGCTGTGCACTTATGAGAACAGCCTCTTAAAAGTGAATCAAAAACCCCTGAAAGACAAAGAATAGGTGCGACACGGACGTCCCAAAAGCAGCCTGCTAGACACAAACAGCGCTGTGCAGACTGGCGATAGAGTGTCAAGTGTCTGGACAGTGTGCGTTATGTGGGTTTAACAATACGACCCTAGTGCGAGCATGGCACGCTTGTCCCAGTACGACGTTTAAAACTGCAGAAATCTAGAAAACGGCTAGTTTGTAAAGCTTTACCTTAAAATGTATAATACATTTGCTTTTGTACAACGAATCTCAGAGGAAGCTATAAAAACTACAACGTAGAGAAGATAGTAGGTACTAAAAAGCAGAATTATTTAAATACGACACAAACAAGCTGCACAATGGGAGCAGTTTGTTAGGGGAGTTAAATTCAACAGCAGCTTTGGCAAAAAAAAGTGTTGTGTGTGCAGAGAAAAAAGTTAACAAATAATGAACCAATTCATTAGAAGTCTTTTTTGCCCTGAGGGACACATGACAAACTTGTAAAGTAAAGGTTGCGTATGGACCGCCGCCATGTGACCCGATCACTGGTTCTTTCCATTGGCGAGATCGGACTTGTTTTATCAGACCTTTGTTGTCTGCACATTTCATTTGAGTCACATGTTGGAGAAAAAGGGAACCGGGCTACGCGTGTAAAACAAGACGGAGGCCGAAGACGAGGTGGAGCGAGGCGCTCGATTAAATTTAGTCCAAATTCACGGCCCTGCCAGGTTATTTTGGTAGATGTTATTCAGCCTGATGCAATGCGATGATGTCAGCAGGGTTTGTGGCCAAAAAAAACTGATAAAAACAAGCATTCTTAATCAAGTCAAGGATTTAACATAAAGCATGTAAAACAAAAACAAACAATAATGTAATGCAACTAACAATTATTTTCATAACTTATTCATCTTCCTCTGTTAGTCCATAAACAGATTAAAACCCAAAGATATGCAGTTCTCGGTTGTGTCCTCAATCGCCCTTTTACTGCGGTTATTTGCGTGTTGACCGTGATAACCTACAATTAGTGCATTTTATACTTGATTGTATTATTATTATTATATATTACAATACAACGACACAAGAGCTTTGCCACGCATACAAATCATAAGCTCACACAAGGAGAGTTAAGTATTTTCTTTGTTCCATGAGGACTTTGTTTTCTGCTCGATGTGGCTGCAGCTTCCTAAAAACGTGATTAATCACCGCGTTATGAACGCACCACCAGGCGCGTGCTGCCTACCCTCTGCGCTGACGCAATGCTTTTGCGCACCACCTCCTTGATGTGCGTGTGCCCCTCGCTCGGCGGTTGCGTGTGCACGGTCACGCGCGTGACCCCTCGGTACGAGATGGAATCGGGCCAGCCGAGGTCCAGCTCCCCCACCGAGCCCTCCGAGCGGTCCGGCCAATACTGCAGCGACACCTCGCCGTCCCCTCCGAATTCCCCGGAGCCCGGCGTGAGGTTCCCGGGCCCGGGGTTCTCCAGCTTGTGGTGATGCTCGCCGCCGGGCCGGTAGGCCTCCGCCGTGCGCGCGATCCGCTCCAGCTCCGGTTCCGAGAGGAAGTCCCGCACGCCCTTCTCGCGGACGTGGTCCGCGAACGCATCGCGGCCGTCGGCGACCAGCACCTCGAGCGCCAGCCGCTGGTCCTCGCAGTAGAAGAACTCCGGCTTCCCCTCGCTCACGCGCGAGTTGACGTGGTGGTTGTCCAGACATTGGACCTGAGACAAAGCCATGGCCGCGATCGATGAGCCGTTAAGTAACAAAACCACTCTGACCCAGTTTCCAGTCGCCGGTTTCCAGAAGGGTCAAACTTTGAGCGGGTCATTCCGCTGCATGGTTCCCCCCCCCCCGAGCGCGGACTCTCGCGGTCTCAGGTGTTCTGGAAGGAGCACGCGCAGCCTCTCAGGTGTTGGTCGACCGGCGCTCCCACGTCCCGGGCGCCACGCCTCTCACCTGACGGCGGGGCCGGGAGGAGCCCGGCGGCGGGGGCCCGGCTCGGCGGCACCGCGGGGCACGGAAGGCAGCTGTCCCGGGTGGATGAGTGCGTGTCTGCTGCCTGTGAGTCAAACCCGACGTTGAGATGGAGAAATAAATCCTCCTTAAATGAACTGTGGGAACTTTCCCCTCTTTTTTTTGTTGTTTTTTTGCCGGTTCAAAGAACCCCGAAAAAAACGGACAAAAACAGACAAAGTCAGTAACGTGGCGCGTACGTGTCTCGACTCGGTTCCCGAACCTCCCCCCTCCGGTGCTCCGGTTCTCCGGTCCGCGCTGTGAACTCCCCGTAGCGTGTGTCTGCCTCGAGGGTTTCGGCAACGGAAGCCCCCGTCACCGGGGTTAGCGAGGCGGTGTCACCGGGGTTAGCGAGGCGGAATGTCCGGTAGTTGGGGAGGAAATGCGGGCTGTTGACTCCACCCTTCTTCTGCCGGGGCAGCGGGGAGGGAGAAAAAAACCCGTTTTTCATCCCAAAAACAGAACCGTTAAGACGGACAGTGTCACAAATAAGCACGGCTCCATCTTGTTTTTACAATATAATAAAATATTGTTGTTCTCTTCCCACAGTTGAAGGAGGTTAATTACTAATTACTTTAGTACTATATAGTTTAATAAAGAAAGAATCGATAGGAAAACAACAAGCAGAATGTTTCCTTTTTAGGCAATGCAGTGCAGATACCAGACGTGTGACTCTTAAATCTGCTTATTGGAGATAAACCTTACTCACCGATAATTACTCGTGCATGTCTGGGTTCGCAGGCTATATAATTCAGGATTAAGAAAAAAGAAAACACTCCTTTTTAACGGAATATCGCGGTTTCCTACATTATGATTGTTAAAAAACGAGTTGTGCAACATCTGTTGCACGTGATCTACCAAATGGAGCCAAACGTAGTAAATAATCTTCATTTCAATTAATTTAGTATCCCTAGACCCAACATGAATGTTGTAACGTCTTCCGCCCCTTTGAGTGAATTACGTGTGTGTTCATATTTCAGACACTGTGGGGTGTGTGGATCCAGAGGAGTGTGTGCGAGTGTGTGGAGCTGAGGTGGGATGCTCCAACATCGCCTTTCCCAAACTGGTCATTGAACTCATGCCAAGCGGTGAGAACGCTGTTGTTTCTAAGCGCCTCCACCGCCGTTTTCAATTTCCAAGCGCGCGCGCCGCTCACCCGCGTGCCGTTTCTACAGGTCTGCGCGGACTTATGATAGCGGTGATGATGGCCGCTCTGATGTCATCGCTGACCTCCATCTTCAACAGCAGCTCCACGCTCTTCACCATGGACATCTGGAAGAAGCACCGCCAACGGGCCTCGGAGAAAGAGCTGCTACTGGTCGGCAGGTACGTCTGCTCCGAGGACGGAGGGTCAGGGGTCAGAGGTCATCCGTCCCCGAACCCTGGACGGCGGCAGCCGACGTATGCACCATGCGATGAAGAAAAGAGAAGCTTTAACGCGGAAGAGACGTGGGTTTTGTTCCAGGATCGTGACCGTTATCTTGGTGGTGGTGAGCGTGGTGTGGATCCCCATCCTGCAGTCGGCCAACAGCGGCCAGCTGTACGTTTACATCCAGTCGGTGACGAGCTACCTCGCTCCGCCCGTCACCGCCGTCTTCACCCTGGCCATCTTCTGGACGAGGACCAATGAGCAGGTGACACACAAACAAGCTCTTTTCTTTTATTCGTAGTTTTGTCTATACATTTGTGTAAAGTGCGCACTAATAGTCCAATGGGATGTCTTTAGATTGGTAGTTTTGTCTGAATCAACAGTCCAAAACGCCAATATATTGAATCGAAACTCTTTTTTTATAGGTGAAAACACCTATTTTCTTACATCCATGAATAAAACAACATTGTGGATATATTAGTTAACTGATCATTAAGCAGTAATTACTGTCAGAAACATTTAAGTACACACTAGTATTAATGAAAAAAAGCATGATTAAATTTCATGGGGACAACACACAAGGTTTCTTTTCGCCAGACACATTTTCACACAAACAAGCAAACGGTTCAAAGGTCACTGCAGTCTGGAAGCCAAACCATAGACATCACAACTCATCACAGTGTGAAAGACGTCGCCTGTTTGTCCTCCCTCCCACTCTGCACCGGTGTTGGGATTTATTAGTCTCACATGGGATCCAGCTGCCGACGTCTCTCGCTGCTCGGTGTGCAGAGACCACGCGTGTGCGCGCACATGTGTGTCTTTGTGTGTCACTCCCTGGTTTTATGAAGTGCGCATTGTTTATTATTTCCTCAGGAGAAAAGCGGCATCAGTGCACCGCTCCTACACTTACTACAATAGATGAAAGGGTTTTCCAGCTGATAACAGAGTGCAAGTGAGGGAAAGTGCAATTATTACAAGTTAGACGACTAACAAAGGGAACTGAAAGAGCAACACGGCTGCAGTAAAAGTGTCTTTCAGCCTGATTCCACGTGTTGGAATTAGTTTTCCGCTGCGAGTAGAGACCAGTCCTCTAGCTTCAACACTGAATCCCTGTTTTAAAGGAGCACGTCCGGGGTGTGTCTGTTCTCCGTGAACACGCTTTTAACTACTAAAATAAGATATTAAGGACTTTTCAACTTATAGTTAAAATAAAACGTTTTTCCCCCTTACATATATATATATATATATATTACATCTAGCTCTGAATTAAGCTTCAAAACGTGTATTTAGTTTACTTTGGTTACAACATGGGTTGAAAACAACAACCAGTTTGAGATTTTGTACTGAGATTCCATTTAAATAAACATGAAAAATGTGTCAACAACTATTTGAGCAATTCAATTTGGCAATAACATTAATGTTTGTGTGACCTGGTACAAATGCATGCTTACTCAAAGGAAGTTGAAAATGCCTTAGTCGTTTGTTTTGAATGTTTCCATTCCATTATTATAAAGGCAGCACTGTTTTTTGTTCATATGAACACAGTGAGCACACTGCTGTACGAGGCTCAACGGCGTTGACTCATGAGGTCAAAGGGCACGCCCCACCATGCAGGATGTGACTCGCACTGACTAGTCTGCGAACCGTGGAGAGAAAACAATGCCGACCTTTTTTAATGGGAACATTCACGTGTATCGTGACTACACAACCTGCGTATTCTTTGAACCTCAGCGCCTAATGTAACTTGTAAAAATACTAATCAACCCTGTAATTGGTGTCGTTACAATTAGACAAATGTTGTGTCTGTATGTATGCGTTTGTCTCTTTATCCCTTTATCCTAGAAATGTACGTTTTCATCTGAAGATGATTTTTTAAATCTTAATATGAACTGAAAAACAAACCATTCTGCAAGAGTTGGAAACTTAACAACAAACATAGCTGTTGCCTTATTTCTTTCCAAACGTGGTCACGTTAAAAGCAAAAAGAACTAAATCAAAGAGATGAATTGTTTGGAGTAATAATGTGCTAAGCAGAAGGACAGGCGACTGCTTTGTGAGCCGTGACATGGAGATTATTTTCATGTTTGGTAAACCGAACCACATGGATCACATTCCTCGCTGATGGCTGAACAAAGACGGAGACAGGGAGTTATTTGTGTCGTTACACGTGCGTGTGTGTGCGCGCGCTTCAGTAAGAAGTGACACGCTGGTGACAAATGATCGTGGTGGGAAAGTGAGAGCGTTACGAGAACAAACGCTCCGGAAATACTGAAGCTTCTGAGTCGAGCACATTAAGTGTAATGAAATCTGAGTGAATGCGTTTGTTTGTTTGTTTGTTTGTTTGCATCCAGGGTGCGTTCTGGGGCCTGATGGTGGGTTTGGTGGTGGGCGTGTGCAGGATGGTGCTGGAGTTTGCCTTCCCGCCTCCCAGGTGTGGAATCGTGGACTCGGCGCCCGCGGTCCTGCGTAGCGTCCACTACCTCCATTTTGCCATTCTGCTCTGTGGACTCACCGCCATCGTTGTCACAATAGTGTCACTGCTCACACCGCCGCCCAGCCACGAACAGGTGTGTACACACAGATAGAGAAGACAAAAGATACACCGGGGGAAGCAAGGCTTCTGTGGGCATGTTGCTGTTGGTACACCTTATCTGCTAAACATAAAAACGGTTGAATCTGAGGTTAAGGAGCCGTGTTATCTGGAAGGTGGCCGTGTTTCATGGTCAATGAAAGAGGTTTAAACCTATCTGTATCGCACGGGTCTACAGTCAAGCAAAGAGCTACATCTCACAGTACAGTACAGCTTTTGTTGCAGACAAAAGAAAGTTACTAAATCACAAGTATTTGAAGCCAGTGAATCATTTGTCAGGTTTGACTACTGAACTGTGACCTCCAAATGCAAACAGCAGCCGCTCTGATCTCATCTTGTATTTCATAAAGATTCGTTTGAAAGTCACAGAAAGATTTATTTAGCCTCCCACGGACAATTAATCACAATGCTTTGTTACATAGATAAAAGATCAGTGTAGGTGGCTTAGGTCAATTAATTTTCATACACAATAGTATCCATGCTAACTGGGACGCCCCTGTGTTTTCTAAGATGTAGAATTGACATTAAGGAATGACGTCATGAGTAACCGTTAATCACGCACGGAAAGTCGGCACGTCAGATTGGCCCGTCTCGCCCAAAAAGGTGTGAAATGTTTATTTGGGAAATATGCTTTCATGCTTTAAGGTTAGAAGTCGAGACGACGACATCTCATATTTTTGTCTGTTAAATGTGAAGCTACAGCCATCAGCTGGTTAGCTTAGCTTAGCATAAAAGGCTTAAAGCAGAAGGAAGGGCTAGCGTGGCTCCACCATATGTGGAATAAATCCACCTACCAGCACATCCAAAGCCCAGCAATTAACATGGGGATTCCTGTTTGTATGTTAGTATTGGTATCTAGATTTAGAGGTGGGCGGAGGCAGATTGTCCATGTTTCCCGTCTTCATAACTAAGGCAGCAGCTCTGGATCGTCTCTACATGTAGTGTAGGTTTTAATTATGTCCAACTGTAATTCTTAGACAGTAAATGTCTTTTTATTTCACTTTTCAGTTGTGTAACCTTACCTGGTGGACTTTGACTGAAGAGCCACCGAGAGAAATCCCTCTCCAGAAAGTGTCCTCTGTCAGCCACCGTAGCTCCCAGGGTAAGCGTGTGCATATTCACAGCAAAACTACTCATCATGTGATAAAGACTCATCAACACACACACACACACATGCGCTGCTGTAGTTATTGTTTGAGTGACTTCCTGAGTCTGCTGTGTGTGTGTGTGTGTGTGTGTGTGTGTGTGTGTTGCAGGCTCCGAGCCCACCCAGCGGGGGGCATGTGGTCGGGGGACATGTGGTCGGGGGACAGGACTGTGTATCTCAGCGGCGCGGCGCTCAGAGGAGACTCCAACTCCCAGAGTCCAGAACGTCCGAGAGAGCGTGTTCTGGTCCAGGTTCTGCTGTGTCAATGCCATAATGGTGGTCAGCATTAACATTTTTCTCTACGCGTACTTTGCCTGAGGATTCAACATCCTGTTTCAACCTCCTTTGCAACTCTGGCCAATATCGCCACAGACGTGGTGAAAGAACCCTTTTTTTTGTACTGACTTTACAGAAATCCTGCAGATCATCCGTCAGGCATTGAAAAGAAAAGAAAAAAACCTTTTAACTTAAAGAACCTAGATAACAGAGAGGACAAACCTCTTACCACAAACCACTAAACAGAGAGACAATTTTGAGAGTAATCTGTATCCACATCCGTATGGAAGTGTCCATAATGACAGATAATGACATGGGAGAAGTTTAGGAGGCTCAAAAAACGTTCAAAAAGTAACCTGGTTTTAAAAGTTTGAGAAGGCTATTGTGCAAATCACAATGAAGCTTGTGGCTTGTAACAAGCTAACATGAAGGTGCAGTTAATGAAATAAAAGGGCGTTTCATCTTAAATTGAAAGCTTACATAATATATAGTAAGAATACGTTTGTGGTTCAGATTGTATACTTCCATTTAGTCTTCATACCTAATTACCTAATAGTAATTATATATTTGTTATGTTTTTCGGGGTTTTGTGAAACCTCAGTTATTGTTCTTGTGTTTTTCTTATTTAGCTTGTTTATGTAGTTTAGAAATGTGTCAACCTTTATAATTTGTTGAGTTTTAATATACACACTTTTGGAGCACATAAATGAAGAGGAAATAATTACAATTATGATTTATCAGAACTGAAAATGGTCTTAACAACAGATCCTGTTGTTCTTATCCTGACAATTTTTCTATCAAATGTTTATTCTTGTGATTTCTCAAATAAATTTGAAGATTCATGCATCAAAGCTACAAGTGTTGGTCCAGTATTTACGACCAGATATATCGCTCTTTATTGGTCTTGTTCACAGTTTATTTACATTCACTAAGGATGAGGTTAGACAAAGCGGTCAGACAAAGCAAATATGAAGTTCAATTGCATTTTCATATTCATATTTTGAATACAAGCGTTTGGTGGAAGGAGGTTATTGGGATCAAGGATTTGTAAAGGTTCACTGAGGGCCAAATCTTTTATCCTCTTCATTACTTTCGTCATTACGTTACTCAGTTATTAATAATAAAGGAAAGAGAAAAGAAACAAGTCCTCAAATTTCAATGGTAGAAACACACAAATACGTGGCAATTTTTCTTCATACCACATAAATAATTAACATTGGTTTCAAATTTAAAAGCAGTGGGGCACAAATTCAGCGTTGCACTAGAATCTAAACCAGTGCAGCAGAATAAGATTCATGGTCTTTTTCTTTTCATTCCTCTTCTGTCAAATCCTGGTGCCTACATTTGCCACAATGCAACTCATCCATCGACACTCGGGCTGTGCTAATATGGCCTGGAGCCGCGAGCCACAGACGTCCAGTGGGATTTTTCTAATTTCAAAACATGTATTCTTGGGCCTAACAAACAGACTCGAGTAACATCACATGTGGACATTTGGCAGCTCTCTCTGGCACCGCGAAAAGCCTTCTACAACTCTTATCCGAGTAAGATATGCAGTAGTTATTCCCAAAACCTCCCCTTTAAGTCTTTATGATCCTTGTTGTTTCACACAGAATTGCTCATGTGAGAAAACAAAAGGCTGATTGAGAAAATACCCTTTCGAGGCCTTCAAATAAATATTTTAAAAATGGCGCTGAATTCATTTTCTGTCAGTGCATCGATCAGCCGCTGTACTAATTGTTTCACTAATTCACTAATAGCCGGTTCGTTGGATCAGGAGGTCGAGTCCCTCCAGTCCGCCGTGTCGTCAGTGGTGCAGCGGCTGGACGTAATCCGGCGGAAATATTCCGACTCGGCCTCGACAGCGCCCCCTCCAGGCCAGTGTGCTGGAGCAGTCCAGCAGGTCGATGATGTCGCCCCGGAGGAAGTGGAGGTGGGCGGTCTGGGGGGGGGTGTAGTCGCAGAGCGCGTGGGCCACACGGGGATTCTGCACACAAGACGCAGCAAAGACATCAGACCGACAGGTGTGTGTGTGTGTGTGTGTGTTGCAGCTGTCCGGTGCGACCGATCTTACCGCCGCGGCCGGGTCAGGGAGGCGGTGCGAGGCCTCCCTCTCTGGGCGAGGGGGGCGGGCCTGGAGGCGGGCTGAGGGGAGGGACTCCTGGGAGCTGCTTTTGTAAGGGTTGGGGTACGGGTTGCGTTCAGGCTGCGATGCGGGGGGGTCCCTGAGATAGACCGCTTTCTCCACGGCGATACTGTGAGTTCTGTAGAAATCCACCAAGCGGTTGAGGGAGCGGAAGGACTCGTCCCAGATGCAGTACTGACCTCCGCCCTCCAGCACCCGGAAGTGCTCCACCCTCTCGCCGTAGCTGCAACGTAAGAGGGGTGAGAAAGCTAAAAGGAGACGGAAAGCAGGTATGCACGTTCCTTTAGAGGAGACTCGTGTTGTTCTTCATTCCTCGACCGTTTCTCCAGTGAGGAATTCACGGTGATGTGCATACCTACGTCAGCGTGGGAAAGGAGACCTGTGCACCACCAGAGGTTTCCTCCCAGGCCATGAATCTCGTTGATCGACACAGACACACACAGTGATCTGTTTTCTCACTGAGTGAGGAGCTGTGACAAACAAACAATTCTCAAATCGGATCTTTCCACGTCCATCTTTTTTATAAAAGAGAAAACGGAATGTCTTTAAGTTACAGACAAAAAAATAGTCAATATTAAAGCCACCTCACTTCTTTTGTTGACTACATTATGAAATTCACTCCAAATAAACCGAACTGAGGCTGAGGCTTTTTATTTTCTCAAATAAAATAAAAAAAATCAAACTATCAATTCCAGTTCCCAAAAGCCAAAGTTATTCCAGTTACAGAGGATGGAAACAATCCCCACAAAAAGTCTATTGTACCCATTTATTTATATTATATTTGCATTTATTTACTACTACTACCTGAATCTGTAATGGAACTATTTGTATATTTCTATTGCACTAGCGACAGAAATAGTAACGGTTTTTGCCAACAAAGATAAAAGCAGTGACCTTCTGGCCCTTTTTCACTCACGATAAGAAAACCGCGGCTCCACTATTTTAAGCGTTAAGCGTTTTTATAATAATTAAGTAATAATGTCAAAAAGCACATACCTAAATCACATTACATCATCTTTTCCTTTATCTAAAGCGACTTACAAGAAGTGCATTCATCCATGAAGGACCAGAACCGGATCAACAAGAATCAAGAAAGTACCATTTCTTCAGGAAAGTGTCATAAGTGCTGATAAAGTGGGTTAGGGTGCTTTAGGTCAACTCCATTTCCCTGTTCTAGCAAGCTACAGAAATACACCCAAAACATAGTGAGAGTCACAAAGGATGGATGATTGAGAGGAAGTTCACATGCTTTGTATTCCCATGATATATTTCTGTGTTTGTCATGATGTCATTGTAGTGAACTGCAGACGTGTTGAGGATTGAAAGGAATCGGCTGCGGTTTACATCTATAAAAACACTCGTCTTGAACATTATTACCCTCTGTTGATCGTTGGGAGGATTACACTGTGCATGAGTATTATTTCCAAACCTTTAAATCAAACCCCTCATCTCCCATCCCTTGCAGGCAGACAGATGTTGTGCCCTTAAATCATACGATCAATGATATGTCTGCGGTGTGTAGATGCACGTCCGGGACACGTGTCCATTGCATAATGTACCTGTTCTTAATTCAAGACTGGGTGGTGTTACGCAACGCCCTGGTTATTGAACACATTTAATTTTCCCTCAATGATTAAATGTGTCCCACGTCACTTGGTGACCCAAATTACATCTCTGCGCGCACACGCACACACACACGGTCTGTGCAGCTGTTCTATTTTTGATGCAACGAGTTTTCGTACAGCATTTTTAAATAGTTTGACTCCACCGGCCCTGACACTCACACACACACACACACACACTTTGATGTCGGACTTGCTCAGTTAAGGCCGTCATTAAACGTCCTTGTGAGATCAGAAGTTGGGGTCAGAGGTCATTAAAGACACACAAGGGGAATCACAGCAGTGCAGCAGATTCAACACATGCAAATATAACTGCAGCAGCACACGAACATTTTAACACCACAATGTGGGAACTTGTGTGTGTGTGTGTGTGGTGTGTTCACTGACCTCACGGAGACAGAAAACTCTCCAGGAGCTGATTCGCTCTCCCTCACCAGGAACACTCCGGCGTCGTGCCGCTGGAGGCGCTTCTCGGCTTCGAGTCTGGACACGCGTCCTGCAAACCACCTACAAACGCACACAACTGTGTATTCACGTTTGAACTCATCAGTTGGTACAATCGTCTCAGTGGTTCCCTACATAAGGGTCAGGGGCCTAAAAAGGGTCTTGTAAAGGCTTTTTTTTTCAGTGTTTTTGAATTACTAAATACTTTCGCCTCTTCGGGCTTTCAAAACTCCTCCAAATAAAACACTGCAAGAAATGATTGACAAGTGGACTTAAAGTTTGGGAGCCGCTGATGGCGGTTAACACGTCCAACATTTTCTATCGTAACTTAATTTGTGTAAAAAATGTTTGTTTTTACGGATAAGGAAGCAGGGAAATGTAGTTCTGAGGCACGTAGCCACGTTTCCCCTGGATCTCTGCTGTGACCCAGCAAGAATCCTCCTCCATTTCCGTCACCTACAAACACACACAGTATTATCCTTTTGTTAACTTTACAAACACCTCTAAATGTGTCAACCCGAACATTTAAACGCACACACACTTACCTTGAGAATTTCCCCCTTCTGAAAACTGATCTCGTCTGCTTCTGATGCTGCGAAGGAGAAGAGAGCCAGCGCCTCCATCCCGCGAAGAACAGTTTCACTTCATGAATGAGGAGACTGGATACAGCTGTGATGTGATGAGAGCCCTGCAGGGCGATGACACTCAGCCACGGGATGAGATGATCAGTGTGTGTGTGTGTGTGTGTGTGTGTGGGCAGCCGCTGACATCCTGCTCATTAGTTAATGAGGAGAGTTTTCTGGGCGCGTGTGTCCTACTGTTCCTCCATGTGACTGAGTTACGGAGGGGGGGGGAGGAATGAAAATAACCGGTAAAATGCGTACGGAGCGATGACCTGAGGTGTTTATGAATATAACGAGTCTCTGCGAAGGTTAACCGAGGGCTCCCGGCTGCGTCCCACATTAGTTACCACGTAGCAACTGTAATCCTCCATTATGCAAAGGGTTAAAGGTTCAACATAAGAGTAATGGATTTGGTTTCGAGGGGAAAAGGGAGCAGGTGTGAATATTTCAAGATATGTCAAAAGCAATTTAGAGGGTGTAGTGAGTAAGTCAGTGTAAGATGTTGGACCAAAGATATATTACTGTCACAGACGACGCAAAATGTGGTACAACAATTCCTTTGTGGACAGAATAAAGATTGAATGTGTAGCTTGTATTTTTCATTTGAAAGCCAAGCAGTGCAGGAAGAGGTAAAAAAAAGGATTTTGGTAGTGTAGAGATTAACTGCTGGATGTAAAGTCCTTCATATATCAATATATACATTTGTAAAGTACCAAACGTATTATGCAAAATGTTCCATTTCAAAATAATGTGTACTGGATTATAATCATTTTTGAATTACTTATGCTGCAACGGCTTTGGCGATTAAAGTGGGAGCTCATTTTTTTAAAAGTACATATATTCTATAAATGCATTTACGTCATAATGTCTCTGTTATATATTGTATAAATAATATAAAACCGGTGACCAAATCACAAATCCCTTTTCTTAAACGTGCTTACTCCCCAAAAAGCACAAAAGCATTCACTGGGAAAAATAAGGACTAATCAGAATGTGCCAACTAGTGACTAAAGTCGTCAAATACATCTATTAAATTAAAAACATCTGAAGTGTTTGGCAAGTGAAGAATGAGTCCACTAAGGGAGACTAATAGATGAAATAAAGAATTGGCTCATGATTTTGGCAATATGAGACACGTTGTGAGTTTTAGGACTGTGCAGAACGGCTGCTGGTGAGTTGTGACTCATTTCTGCTGGAGCGAAAGACGAGTGCAACTGCATTTAATCAAAGTATTATAAAAAGCCATAAAGACACCCAACAAAGATCAACAACTCCCTGCTTGGTATTTAATGAAGTAATAAATGTGATTAAAAATAATCTGTGTCACTAGTTGATTTATTTCATCAACAGCGGAAAATAATCCATAGCAATTCACCAAAGTCTCAGGTCTCTATGGCAACATGTCGACATCAGCAAAATCACAGAAACTCCTCTTCTACTGACCTCAAATATCACAGTGTGTGTTGTGTGTGTGTGTGTGTGTGTGTGTGTGTCAGTAGCAGTCCACTATGACCTCCTCCCCCGGCTGTGTGTCTGCGCGAGTGTGCGCGGCGCTGGCGGTCAGTATGTCCTGCAGCAGAGAGAGCGGCGAGTTGTGGACGTGGTCGCTGCTTCGAGTGAGGACGTCCAGCCTCTCGTCCAAACCCAGCGACCGCAGCGCCTCGCACACGCTCACGCGGGCCCCTCCCTCGCCGCTCTCCACGCCCAGTGTCTTTCTGATCTCCTCCCCCCAGCCGCCGCCGCCGGGCAGTTCGCAGGACACCGTCGCCACGGCAGCAGTGGCGTCCGGCGGCCCCGGAGGGCAGACCGCGTCTCGGAGCGCCATCAGCAGCCGACAGGCCCTCAGGCCCACGGGTCTGTCGCAGTCGACCAGCCCGCTCAGCAGCGCCGCCACGACCCCCAGCTCCACCGCGGCGGCCAGGTCCGACTCGGCGCCCTCGGGGGACGCGCGAGGAGCGCGGGTCAGCTCGGAGACCGCGGCGCGAGGGTGCGGCGCGTCCGAAACCTTCCGGTAACCCCGGTGACCCGAAAAGGCCTCGTCCAGCAGCAGCTGGGCCAGCTCCAGCGTGTGAACTTTGACCTCCCAGTCCAGATCGGCGCTGCCTTGCGAGAGGACGGAGCGCGCGCAGCGCATCAGGAGCGGGGCGGAGGAGGGCGACGCCGACGAGGAGAACCAGGAGGCGAAGTACTGCACGACGGCCCTCCTGGGGAATCCCTCCGTGTCCTGGGAGAGGATCTCAAGCAGCCGGCTCACTATTTCCTTCTGGAAGCAAACAGAGTTCCATCAACGGACGTTCACATCCGAACACGTCGTTAGTAAATTAGAAAGACGTCTGCCCACCTCGTCCTCGCTGGGCGCCGCCCCCTGCTGCCAGCCGTGTGTCAGACTCTTTGCCAGCGCGGAGACGGCGCTGGCTCTCACGTAGCTCTCCGCGTCCTGCAGGGCCTCCTTCAGGAGGGGCGTAGTGCAGCGGGCGCCCAGCAGCGCGTCGGACGCCGTCCCCTCGGTTGTCGCCGCGGAGGCGCGCAAACCCGCCAGTTGTCCCAGGAACTCCACCGTGGAGTCCCTCACCTCCCAGCGCATGTCGCACGCGCGCCTTCTCACCAGCTCCACGAGATCTACAAACACACACACACATTCAGGGGCACGTCACGGTGTGTCGTAGCCACGAGTGTTTGGAGGCTGCTGGTGGACTTTACCCAGTCTGAGCTGGTCTGTGACAAAGGACAGGTCCGTGCACACGCCCGTCCACTTCACGAAGGCCTGGTAGGACTTGTGGAGCACCTTGGAAACACAAGGAAAAACAGGAAGACTCATTGTGAAGAGTCGACGTGGAAGCGCACAAACAAAAAGACAAAGCTACTCGTCCTTCACAGAGACGTCAACTACTCGTCTCAAAATCACACATGAGAATGCCACACGCATATATTGCTTCTGTACATGACAGAAGGAACACAAATTGTGTGGAAAAGATACATCTAACCACTTTGTGGAGACGTTTTGAAAAGCTCTAAGATTACGATACAAAGAATCAAAACGAAAAATGAAATGAGTTGCACAACTTACCGTGGGATCAGAATCAGGGTTTTCCAGATATTGCATCAGAACTGTGAACACTTCACTGGTCTTCTCTGTCGCTCCTGAAACACACAAGATGGAGGACACATGCTACACACTTTCTCACAGTGAATGACTTAAGATCTTCTTTATTAATCTGCCGCATGATTCCTAATAATTATTTGCAGCAATGTCAGTTCTAATGTGACGTCCTGCCACACGTTCTATAATTATATCAGAGAAATTCTGTTACCACTCTGGCTGTCGTTCCCTTGAGGATGATGCAAACGTGGTTAGTTAAAGAAAACCCCTTTTCCGCCTGGAATCATCTCACGCGAGCACGCGGCGTTACCTGGGCTGCCGTCCAGAGCCGTCAGCGCCTCAAGGGCACATTTCTGAACTTTGCCACTGCCGATGACGTTCCTGCAAACCTCGCCGCACCCGGGGGGCGAGGAGGAAGAGACGCCGCTGCAGATCCTCAACAGCGACAGGACTGCAGTGACGATTAAATCCGGCGCACAGGGCAGGACGCCGAGGGGCTGGAAAAGGGGGAGAGAGAGAGAGAGAGAGAGAGAGGGGGGCAAGTATGTTGGTCTGCTTCACATAAAGAACACGTCCCATCTTCTTCCGGGTCGTCTTCACGGGCTCACCAAGAGGGCGATCCGGGGCGCGTTGGTCAGAGTGACGCACGTCATCGAGATGCAGGAGGTTTTACACTTCAGCTGCTCTACCGCTGAAGACCGACGCCCGTCTGCTGCAGGAACAAAAGCCACGTCCTGTCATAAAGACACTCGACGTGCTTGACGATGATCCATCACTGGGTATTTCTGTGTGTTTTACCGGTGGCGTTTGTGCCCAGTAGAGTTTGACCCGTTACGATGTGGAGGGGCAGCAGCAGGATTCTCACGGCCCGGGTTGTGTTCACGACGTCACTGCTGAGAAACACGGGAGAGGGAAAAAAAGAAAAGAAAAGAAAAGTTCAGGTCATCCCGGAGGCGGGGAAGAGACATTCTCTATGCGAGTGTAAAGTGGTGAACAGCCGCTTACTGGTGACCTCGGCGGAGAAAAGCGGCTGCAGCGTGAAGGAGGTCGGCGGGTTCGTTGACGTCCAACATGGACGACAGAAGGCGGCCGACGCGTTGGTCCGGGACGCGTTGGTTAAAGCCGGAGCTGCTGCAGACAAATACGAACAACGTTTAACTTACTGATAAAACAGGAAAAAGTGTGGTTTTATATTCTGTTTTTCATGCATTTTCAAGCATTTGTCATGAAGTATTTGCATCTTTAAAGGAATATATGAACCTTTAAGTTAACTGCCTTGATCCTACTCTGGAAGATTGTTCCATAGCCACAAATGTCAATCTGAACTCATCCGAGAGAGGCGGCCCACCTGCACGCAGCCAGGAGGACGTCCATCAGAGGCAGCGTGAGCTGACTGCAGCCTGCCGCCACCAGGTCCTCCAGAGGGTCCCCGGCTGTCTGGAGCAGCCCGTCGCAGAGGGGAGGCCCGGCCGCGGCCAGCAGCAGGGCCAGCAGCTTGAGGATCTGCAGACTCTGACGGAGCGCTGTGTATTTTTTGGGAACCAGTGACTCCTTGAGGTACCCCGAGATCGCCGCGAGAGCGGCGGCGTACGCCGCGCTGGCGCGCTTCGTCCCGTCGTCGTCATCTTCTTCCTTCTTATCTACGCCGTTACATCCCAGAGACGGGACCGGCTGAAAGAAGAGCAGGATGTGGGCGAGCATTTGATTGGCCGCCGAGGCGACGAACAGACTGGCGTCTGTCTGGAGCTGAAGGAGCGGGTCGATAAAATCTGTGAGGAAGATACATTTTACAAATTAAATATTGCCCGAACCCTCTGATTGAATCGTCTTTTATGATGTACTGCACAAGACATCTGGAGAGGTGGGAGCTCATTTCCTGCATGAAAAGTCACCTGACTGCACAAAGAAACAGAGCGCCTTCGGGTGCTGCAGCATGCTCCGTAAGCCCAGGATCCAGCCGATCCGTAAACAGGGATCCTCCCACAGACCGGCTTCTCGCCAGCGCTGAAGCTGGAAGACCTGGTCCAGAACCGAGCGTTCCTGCAGGCGGCAACATCACCGGAGGAGGGAGGGGGGTCAGAATTCCTTTTTCTCAAAGTTTGGTGAAAGTACAGTCGGTGGAGGTTAACTCCACCTGGAGCTTTTCGTAGCCGTCCTCCGTTGCAGCCATCAGGCCGGTGAGTCTGAGGGCGAAGGAGAGGACACCGGGGTCCACAGCCGTGTTCAGAACCACGGTGGAGATGAACTCAAGCAGACACGGGCAGGCCTCCAGCAGGGATCCCCCTTCAGGGGGGGGAGAGAATGTGATGAGTGACACAGATCCAACAGCCATCTATCTGCAAAAAGCAGCTTCAGCTCTTATAGTTATAAATATTACTGATGAAAGTTCACCTGACATTAACCAACATTAAAGCACCTAAAGGCAGCAACTTCAGAGCTTCACAGACTGAAGGAGACGCGGACAGCGAGTGTTTCTTTGGTACTAACCGGCCTCGGTGAGCCCCGTGAACCAGTCCAACAGCTTCTCCAGGCTGGTGTCGTCGGGCAGAGACCTCCCCGAGGCCGCCAGCACCGCGCACACGCCGGGCAGCAGCGACGCACAGTCCGCGTCCATAGCGAGGACACGCTTGGTGTCACGGTGACGCGTTCACGGCAAGTAACTTGTCTGGAAGTACCGCCCGGGGGGTGTTTGGGGTAGCGGGGAGCGGAAGGGGACCGAGTAACGGGGATAACTAAACTTAGGAGGTTTTTTTCCATGTAGTTTAGCTAAACGTCCGTCACGCGGGAAACCGTTTCAGATCTCTGGCTTCCAGTTTAAAAAATAAATAAAGACACCTGCGCTTTTTTACTGATCTGTAAACACACGGAGAGAGAATTAACGTGACGGTGGCCCAGTGCAAAATCGTTCCATGTGGTTTACAACTCTACTGTTCCACCTCGCAGCGAGGCCTTCCGCGTCGAACTGGTTCCGGTGTCACGTTTCCGTCGAATCGTCCATTTTCACAAAATCGCACATGGTGCCACACCGGTTGAGGACCGTCAGCCTCTTTATTTTTGGGATTCTTGCTCCGTAGTAGCGAGCAACCCGTCTCGTGGTACCTGATAAATGCAAGATACGGTGGATATGGTGGACGATCCCGATTACGACGAGGAGGAGCCCTCCTTCAGCGACCCGGAGGACTTCGAGGACGACATCGAGGATGAGGGTGAGCGGCAGCAGGAAACAGCCCGGCTTTCTGGCCCTTTGCTAACCGCTAGCTACGAGCCGTGCTAGCTCTATTACATGTCGTACGAACGCTACAAAGCTAGTTAAGTTAATTACGTTGTCACCGTGTCTGCCGAATTCTAATGTTTAATCCGTGGAAATGTATTAGCGGGTATACGGCGGATAACGTTAACGTTACATCCTCATTTTCCTTTTCAAACGACCCTCGGGTTTAATTTCCCGGCTATTAAAGCCTCACCCAGACTGTGGCCTTGTCGCTGTCACATTATCACTTCAAACAGGGGCATCGGCGGCTAATAAAAAGCATTTTTACAATAACTGTCTGAATTAATATGTAAGACCACGGTCGTCACTGGGAAGCCGTTGGTCTGTGTTTGGCTTGAAGCAGCTGGTGAACGACGCTAGCTTTCACCCCGGATGAACCTTCATGCTAGCGCCGGGTGGAGGGCAGATGGGCGCACAACGCCGCTCATGTCTGCGCAGAAGAACGTGAACAAATGACACATCAGCAAATCGAGTAGTTTGCTGAAATCAAGGCATATTCCCGGTTGAAGTATAACATGTTCAATTTCCGTTCTTGGAGGTGTTGGTTCCATTATATTATGTTCGTGGTTTTGTTGAATGGCTTTTCGATATAATGCCCACCGCATTTATATTAAATAGTGAACGCTAAACATTAGAAACGATTCACGGCACTAAAACCCCCTAAATTAACAATACAGTACAATACATCTCTAAACTATTATATTCATTAGTCTATGACAGGTGCACCTGTTTAATTGACAGCACGGTACAGAGCACTTTTTGCATAAAGTGCATCATTTTGGTTTTATTTTCATAGTGAACCATCTTTCATCTGCTGTAGAAATGTTTTACTCTTGTGCATCCTGTTGACCAGGTGGTTGAGGCTGATATTATACTTTTAAAACATATTTTTTATTTGCATGTATTTTCTAATTTACCTTCCCATTCTACAGCCTAAAGCATAAAAGGGCTGATAATCATTTGAACGATCTGAGAAAATTAAGACGACAGTTTCGTCGCGTTTTGGTTTGAGAGCGGCGCGTGTTGGAAATGGTTTAACACCTCCAGATCAGATAAGCGACTAACGTTAGTGTGCCCTCCCCAATCTTCCCCCACCCCCTTTTTTTCCCTCCCCCTGCGATTCAGAACTCCTCGATGACATCCTGAGGGAGAAGCCCCAGGAGGCTGACGGCATAGACTCGGTGGTGGTGGTGGACAATGTCCCTCAGGTGGGGCCGGAGCGTCTGGAGAAACTCAAGAACGTCATACACAAGATTTTCTCCAAGTTTGGCAAGATCAACACCGAGTTCTACCCAGAGGCTGACGGCCTGACCAAAGGGTACGGGATCTGCTCCATACGCTGCGTTACTCGCTTAGTTGTGGGACGTAACCGGTTAAACAAACCCACGTCTCCTGCAGGTACATCTTCTTGGAGTATGGCGGCCCCAGCCAGGCCCTGGAGGCGGTAAAGAACGCGGATGGATACAAACTTGACAAACAGCATACGTTTCGGGTGAACCTCTTCACCGACTTTGACAAGTAAGGGTTCAGTGTCGGATAAGAGACGCACCAAATGGGCCGACGGATACATGCAACGTGCATTCATTCTGTTTTCTTATTCCGCCAGGTACATGAACATCAGTGATGAGTGGGAAACTCCAGAGAAGCAGCCGTTTAAAGACTTTGTGAGTATTTTCTTTTTTTAAATAATAAATATTTACGATTCAGAAGTAGTTTATTACGTGGCTTTTTGCTTTTCTTAAATTGAGCAGAAATAGGAGTTTTTGCACTGGTATAATCCTTTGTCTGTTTAGGGAAATATGCGCCATTGGATTGAGGACACGGACTGTCGTGACCAGTACAGTGTGATCTACGAAGCTGGAGAGAGGACCGCCATATATGACAACGATGCTAAGGAGCCAATCGTATCAGAGGAGAGAGCCGTAAGTAGTGTTAATAGTGTTTGTAATGAATTGAATATCCCATTCTTGGACAACTTGCACACTAATAACGTTTTTTTTATTATATATACTTATGCAGCGCTGGACGGAGACGTACGTGCGCTGGTCTCCTAAAGGCACCTACCTGGCCACCTTCCACCAACGGGGCATTGCATTGTGGGGCGGTGAGAAGTTCAAGCAGATTCAGAGGTTCAGCCATCAAGGCGTGTCCCTCATTGACTTCTCACCATGTGAGAGGTAATCATTATTGCTCTTAAGCACCAGTAATTGACACTATTTTAGGATTAGGCTTTGGGTGCCGATGTGAACTAATATGCTTTTTCAGTAAATTAGGCATTTCCCAATCAAGTTTTTTTTGCCCAAATCTAAAGAACAGAGGGTACTTCCCTTTATTCCAAAACTGGAATTCGTGGTTCCAAACTATTATGCTCATGAGTGTTGTGCTGCCTTCCAGGTACGTGGTGACCTTCAGTCCACTGATGGACACAAAGGAGGACCCACAGGCCATTATCATCTGGGACATTCTGACCGGACACAAGAAGAGAGGTTTCCACTGCGAGAGCTCTGCACACTGGCCCATATTCAAGTCAGTGATCCCCTCTTATTGTGACTTTAACATCAGTTTTGCCTGCTGTGATTTGAATTTATTTTAATGGAGGATATTGGTTCCCAGGTGGAGCCACGATGGAAAGTTCTTTGCTAGGATGACTTTGGACACGCTGAGCATCTATGAGGCACCAGTAAGTACTAAGAAAACAACATTTCGTTGTATTTGTTTAGAGGGCAGCTCACCCTTTTCACCACTTTTATTCTCTCCTTTTTAGTCAATGGGTCTGCTTGACAAGAAGAGTCTCAAGATTTCCGGGATCAAGTAATGAAGATGATGCTTTTATTATTATTTTTCTTGTAATTGGGTGCTTAAAATTGTGACATATAAACAATAATCTGTGCCTTTTGTTAATCTACAGAGACTTCTCATGGTCCCCCGGTGACAACATCATAGCATTCTGGGTACCCGAGGACAAAGACATCCCCGCCAGAGTGACTCTGATGCAGATGCCTACCCGACAGGAGATCCGCGTCCGAAACCTCTTCAATGTGGTCGACTGCAAACTGCACTGGCAGAGAAATGGAGACTACCTGTGTGTAAAAGTGGACCGGACTCCCAAAGGAACACAGGTAAAGAGGAAGAGGCAAATACAGCTCAGACCTGACGAAGAAATAGAAGAAAATGCTCACTTTCAACCTCTTTTTAAAAAAAATTTAGGGCGTCGTCACCAACTTTGAAATCTTCCGCATGAGAGAGAAGCAGGTTCCTGTCGATGTGGTGGAGATGAAGGGTAAGAACTATTTCTTTAAAGGTAACCTTTTTACATTCTTTCCCAAAAGAAATGCCAACCCTGATGCGTTTGTGCGTCTTGTCTCTGCAGAAGGCATCATTGCGTTCGCATGGGAACCCAACGGCAGCAAGTTCGCTGTCCTCCACGGAGAGTCTCCCCGAATCAACGTCTCCTTCTACCACGTCAAAAACAACGGCAAGATAGAGCTCACAAGTGAGTGGATCAGACTGATGTCCAAACTTTCTTACCGGCTCTCGGTTCCGTGGACCAGCGCGCAGGCTGAACCTCCACTAACGGGCAAACCTCTTTTCCTCCAGAGACGTTTGACAAGCAGCAGGCCAACAGCATCTTCTGGAGCCCCCAGGGACAGTTTTTGGTGCTGGCTGGACTCAGGAGGTCAGTTAAATATGTGTGTGTGCGCTGTGTCTTTAGTGACCGCAACAAGGAGCCACTGATGACAAAACAATTACTTTTCTGACACCTCGTATGAGAGCTAAGCTCCTATGATTCTAACTCCGATCTGAGGCTCACGCTATCGTATATCTGTTCGTTTTGACGGCGGCGGCGCGTGCGGTTCTGTAATCGGCTGTTCTCCTGTGCGTGTTCAGTATGAATGGAGCTCTGGCCTTCGTGGACACGTCGGACTGCACCTTGATGAACATAGCGGAACACTACATGGCCTCTGATGTGGAGTGGGACCCGACCGGCCGCTACCTCGTCACCTCCGTCTCCTGGTGGAGCCACAAGGTGCGTTCCGCAAAGCGGCGCCACACTGCTGGCAGAGCGATTCCCACTTGTCTGGGCCAACATTGTAACAAAGCACTAACCTTGCATTAACATTCCTCCACTTTTTTTTTGTTTGTGGGTTAAAGGTGGACAATGCATACTGGCTGTGGACGTTCCAGGGCCGTCTGCTCCAGAAGAACAACAAGGACCGCTTCTGTCAGCTGCTCTGGAGACCCAGACCTCCTACCCTGCTCAACATAGAAGATATCAAGGTACCATTACGTCTTAATTATAGACCATATGCACACTGGGGCTGTGAAGCCAGTGATGACAAACAAACTTTTCTGACACCTCGTATGAGAGCTGCACTGCGGCTCCTGATTCTAACGCTGATCTGAGGCTCACTCCTACAACCTCCCGTGTGTTGGTGCAACGCCGCCGCTCTGTTGTTTTGGGGCTGTGGAGCCGTCCTTTTCACAGTAAATATCCATCTTCCTCCTGCAGACGATCAAGAAGGATCTCAAGAAGTACTCCAAGATCTTTGAGCAGAAGGATCGTCTGAGCCAGTCGAAGGCTTCTAAGGTTTGTGGCGTCCATTTCTCTAACAGGCTGTTCACTGTCCACACAAGCTGAACCTTTCTATGTCGTAGTTTGGCGCGATGTCAAGAACCATAAAGTTGTGGTTCCTCCATCTCTGTCCCTCATGAATAGATCTAAATGCATACTTACAGCTTCCCTACCAGAGACCAACAATGATACTGAATGCTTTGTGTGTGTGAGTAGGAGCTGGTGGACAAGCGCAGGTCCATGATGGATGATTACCGTAGCTACAGGGAGACTGCACAGCAGACCTATCTGGAACAGAAGAGCTTGCGCCTCGAGCTCAGAGGAGGTGAGATATTTATCCTGTTTCTCCCCCCCCCCCCCACCGCCCCATAGTATTTGTTTTGAGTATATCACTGACGTGTGTGTGTGTGTGTGTCATCCAGGAGTGGACTCTGATGAGCTGGACAGCAATGTGGAAGACTGGGAGGAGGAGACCATTGAGTTTTTTATCAACGAAGAAATCATTCCCCTTGGAGATCTGTAGTCCCTTCGCAGGTAACAAGTGTGTCCAACACGACCCAGTGAAATGAAGAATGTGTTCACCTGGTTTGAATCCCGTAAAAGAAACTTGTCAACAATTAGAGATATTTTCATTCTTATAGGCCTACAGTTTTTTAGATAAATTCTTCTAAAATGTTGGTCAACATTTGTTCATTAATTTCATTTTTTCATTTATAGTTGGTGAATTCGCTGTATTTATTTTTTTCCCCTCCGTTTCGGTTCCTGTAGTTAACAAAGTTTATTCTTTCACTCTTTCTCTCAGTCAATCCGTTTTTGTGTGGAAGGAGGAGAGAGGAACTGCGTCATTGATTGGAGGACGACAACCACGCTGTGAATTTTAGGGTTCAAGAACCTTAATATTCATATTTAGCGACATCATCAGAGCACGCCTTGTGGATCAGCAGCCACATCCAGAGACAAGAGAGGATACTTTGTATTTAATATTTTCTCTTTGTCTCAGAGCATCATTTTTTTTATTTTTTTTGTGGAACTTGGTATTTAGTAATACTGCCTCCTTTTTTTTTATATTCACCAACCGGAGTAACTCGCTCACTAATCTCAGCCCCGCCTCTTATCGGACCTTCTTTTTTCCAGGGGTCTGTGTTCTGAACTAGCCTCACTGTGCGAGTGTGTTATCACAGGTTAGCACAGGGTGCCATGCCAGCGGGGGGGGGCGGGGATGTGACTAAACGAGGGGCCTTTGTTAGAGATGTGCTGATGTGGCGCTATAGTGGCCTGTATCCTCCTCCTTTCAGATTAGCCTTTCACACAGGGAGTGCGTGCGCAGTGGGAATGACTTTAAATAAACCTTCAAACACAATGCTACCTGACTGTGTCTCTGTGTTTGGTTCCTTTTTATTGGAGAGAGTATCTTCGGTTCCTTCGGTCCCTTCAGTGACACACAAACACGTTTTGATAAGTTTGAAATTGTGTCAACCCAAAAAAATGCAGTGCTTTACTGATCAATTTCCTTTTGGATTGACGTTTGTACGAAACAATTTTAATTTGATAGAAATTATAAGGAACTGATTTATTAGCTGTACCGTTCCGAGGACCCATGATCTAGTGAGGATTCAATGCATCTGACACATTGACAGGAGGGTAAACATCTTAAGACTTATTGCATCTCTTAACCACATTTATCTTCATAAGCAGTGAAATGTTTGTATGTAAACATGTCAGTAGCGTAATGAGTAACTAACCACGATACAGTGAGGGTGTCTCGCTCCTCGCATCACAAGTTTCTCTTTGTCCTTCTGTCATCGAGCAGTCCTCATGCATTCATCGAGCCGTCCCCACAGCAAATCACCGGTGGTTCAAATCTGCTTGTGTGAAAGTAAGATCACGCAGTGCGATTTCATTTGCGTGGAATAAATAACCTGCAAAGACTTGTTGGGAAGTTTTCCAGCGGCTCACTTTGACCTACGTCCATAATTACAGTGCCGTCGTGGGTTTTATATCCCACATTTTGCCTCTCAGTTTTCAGCACAAACCGGTTCTGCGGCACAGAGAACAGTCTGTTCTTTATGTGTCCGGCACCGTTCAGCTTCATCAGTGGATCCTTCGTTGCGATGAGCCAGTGTCGCTGCGCTCTTTGTGTTGACTCTTTATGCGGCAGAGATCTTTTACGGAACGCGCCGGTCGACCAGCATCTGTACAGACGATGTGTTTAAAACGTCACACGCCATCTGAGCCGTGACCAAGTAGAAATGCTGTGGGCCAAAAGATACTTATTACAAGTAAAATGTACCGTTACTATTTGCATTTACAATAAGTGCATTCAAGTATTTAATGTTGACAATAGCTTCTTGTTTTTCTTTAATGTTTTGTGGCCTTGTAAATCATCATAAGCCTATTATATAATTTTTATAAAGCTATAAGCATTGAACAACTAGATTACCAAGTACAATATTTCCCAGTAAAATAGAATTGAATAGGCCTATCATGAAAGTGCGTCTTAATCATATTTAATCACAGCTGTCTCTTGCAGTATCATGTATCATACAAACATCGAGCCACATGCTCCTCGGTGAGGAGGGTCAAACAAGCCGTATTCACTGAAATGTCCTGCTGTATTTTCATTGGTGAGTAACAGGATGCTCGTGGTCTTAACGCTCAGCTGCAGCGCCGCTCGGTCCTTTTAATGTGGAGGCAGCAGCCGGTTATTGTGATGCTATAAATACTCATTAAGAGACAGCTCTGCCTTCAAACACGGATGACACCATGTTTAGGCTTCCGAACCGACACAATAGGGGTGTTAAAACAGACGTACACTGAGGTGCCAGAAGAATGGGAACACCTGTCCTGTTATATATATCTTATATAACCAATAAAATACACTTTACTAAGAATGTACTTTATGGTGGTTTGTTGGACAGTTTTAAAGTGTACATTTTTTTCAATATTCTGTACATCACATTTACCAAGAGCAAAATAAACTAAACACCTTGATGCATGCTGTCAGGCAGGGAGGAGGAGGACTCGGACGCAGAGGGTTCAGCTGATATTGCTTTTATTAATAACAAGGAAAAAACTCAAAATCTCTCTTAATGAGGAAAAAAGGTTGCGATCAAAGTTCAAAAGGCAAAAACTCAAAATCTCTCTTAAACGAGGAAACGTAACAGGGATCAAAAGGACGTGACAAACGTTATCGGACTTGACTTGACTCGTGACGTGAGGGCTGGTGTGCAGGGCAAAACAACAAGACACACTGGCACAGGACAAGGGGCGACGCAGACTATAAGTACCCATGAGGGAGTTGTGGGAACAGGTGGACACAATCAGGAATCAGGGGAGACAATCAGACTGGTGACACATGAGGAAGGGCAAGGGACCTGAAACGAGAGGGAGTTAGTTTCCAAAATAAAACAGGAAGTCAAAAAACAACTGGAGACAGGACAAAAACGCAACTTGACATACAGGTGTGACATTACCCCCCCCTCAAGGCCGAATACCAGGCGGCCTTGGAATGTCCGGGTGTGCTCTATAAAAATCTCGAATGAGATCCGGGTCCACTATGAAGCTAGACGAGACCCATTGTCGTTCCTCTGGGCCGTAGCCCTCCCAGTCCACGAGGAACTGCCTGCCCCGTCCCCGCTTACGTACCGCCAGCAGTTTCCTCACCGTGTAGACCGGCCCCCCCTCGACCATTCGAGGGGGTGGGGGTGGCTTGGGGTTTGGCACCATTGCGCTCTCCTTCGCTGGTTTGATTTTGCTGACATGAAAAGTTGGGTGTACCCTCAGGGACCGGGGCAGACGGAGGCGCACAGCTGCTGGATTGATAATCCTCGAGATGGGGAACGGGCCGACAAAGCGAGGGGCCAGCTTTCGTGATTCGACCTGCAAGGGTAGGTCCTTGGCTGAGAGCCATACTCGCTGGCCGGGCTGGTACACTGGGGCCGGTCTCCTCCTGCGGTCCGCTGCTTTCTTCACTCTGTCCCCTTGTCTGATTAGCGTCTGGCGTGCCGCTGCCCAGATGCGGCGGCAGCGGCGGACCAAGGCCTGGGCGGAGGGCACAGACACCTCTGGTTCGGACTCGGAAAACACAGGGGGTTGGTAACCAAAAACGCAATGGAAGGGAGACATGCCAGTGGCGGAGGTGGGAAGGGAGTTATGGGCGTACTCTACCCACGTCAGGTGTTCGCTCCATGACGCAGGGCTCTGGGCCACCACGCACCGGAGGCTGGTTTCCAGTTGTTGATTGAGGCGCTCCGTCTGTCCGTTGGCCTCGGGATGGTACCCCGATGTGAGGCTAGCTGTGGCTCCGATGAGCTTACAGAACTCCTGCCAGAACCGCGAGACAAACTGGGGCCTCCTATCGGACACATGTCTCTGGGGAACCCGTGGATCCTAAACACGTTGTTCATCATGCAGATAGCGTCTCTTTAGCGGTGGGCAGCTGGGGTAGGGCTAGGAAGTGTGCCATCTTTGAAAATCTATCCACCACGGTCAACACCGTGGTGTTCCCCTTGGAGGTCGGTAGCCCCGTGACAAAATCCATCGAGATCTCTGCCCACGGCCGGGACGGGATGGGCAGCGGCTGTAGCAAGCCTGCGCGGGCTCTGGAGGAGTTCTTGTTCCTGGCGCAGACGGAGCATGCCTCAACGTACTCCCTGACCTCCGGCTCCATGGACGGCCACCAGAACCTCTGCGTGATGGCGAACATGGTCCGACGTACGCCCGGATGGCAGGTGAGCAAAGACGAGTGAGCCCAGTGGATCACCTGTGGGCGCAGATTAATAGGGACAAACAGACGATTATCTGGGCACCCACGAGGTGGGGGGGTCTCACCGTTGGCCTGCTTCACCTTGGTCTCTATAGGCCAGGTAACCGCTCCAACCACACAGTGTAGTGGGAGGATGGGCTCAGGTTCCCTGGCCACGGGCTCCGGGCTGAAAAGACGGGATAAGGCGTCAGGCTTGGTATTTCTTGATCCCGGTCTGTAGGAAAGGGAAAAATCAAAACGGTTAAAAAACAAGGACCAGCGGGCTTGACGGGAATTCAAACGCTTGGCCTTCTTGATGTACTGCAGGTTCTTGTGGTCTGTCCAAACCAAAAAAGGGTGCTGTGCCCCCTCGAGCCAGTGCCGCCACTCCTCCAGCGCCGCCTTCACTGCCAGCAGCTCACGATCTCCCACGTCGTAGTTCCGCTCCGCTGCAGTTAGTCGTCGCGACAGGAAGGCACACGGATGAAGCTTGTTGTCAGACTCTGCTCGCTGGGAGAGAATGGCCCCGATCCCATTATTGGAGGCGTCCACCTCCACCACAAACTGGCGAGCCGGATCAGGGAGCGTGAGGATGGGTGCTGTAGTGAAGCGCCGCTTAAGCTCCTGGAAGGCCGCGTCTGCCTCGGCGGACCAGTGAAACGCCACCTGCGGGGAGGTAAGAGCATGGAGCGGGGCTGCTGTCGCGCTGAAGCCTCTGATAAACCGCCTGTAAAAGTTAGCAAAACCGAGAAATTGCTGTACCTTCTTGCGGCTATCAGGAGTTGGCCACTCTACTACCGCGCTTACTTTAGCCGGATCCATCTGAACCCTCCCAGGGGCTACGATAAAGCCCAGGAAGGCGACAGTATCGGCATGAAATTCACTCTTCTCCGCCTTCACATATAACCCGTTGTCTAAGAGACGTTGCAGGACGAGTTCAACATGGTTCCTATGGGTGTTTAGGTCGGGGGAATAAATCAGAATGTCATCTAAATACACATACACAAACTGGTCTAAAAAGTCTCTTAACACATCGTTTATCATCGCTTGAAAAACTGCTGGGGCGTTTGTGAGACCAAAGGGCATGACCAGGTATTCATAATGTCCAGACGGCGTGTTGAATGCCGTTTTCCACTCATCCCCTTCCCTAATGCGAACCAAGTGATAGGCGTTGCGTAAGTCCAGTTTGGTAAAAATCTGCGCCTGTTGAAGCTGGTCGAATACTGAGGTCATGAGAGGTAGAGGGTATCTGTTCTTAACGGTTATGTCGTTAAGCGGGCTGTAGTCAATGCAGGGGCGAAGGGTTCCATCCTTTTTTCCCACAAAGAAAAACCCTGCCCCTGCTGGGGACGAGGAAGGTCGGATCAACCCCGCCCTCAGGGAGGATTCGATGTAGTCCTTCATGGCCTGCCTCTCGGGCCCGGAAACAGAGTAAAGACGGCCCTTCGGGATGGTGGAGCCGGGCAGAAGGTCAATGGCGCAGTCGAACGGGCGATGAGGTGGTAGAGCTGTGGCCTTGCTCTTACTAAAAACCTCAGCGAGGTGGTGGTAGCAGCTTGGAACTTGAGTCAGATTAGTGATCTCCGAGTCTGTGACAGGGTGAGTGACGACACGGTTTAGCGTGGGGTTCTTCCCTTGGGGGCATGATTCCCGACATTGGGTCCTACAACCCTCCCCCCATACCATAATGTCCCCGGTGCGCCAGTTTATGTGTGGGTTGTGATGAATTAACCATGGGAACCCGAGGATGAGATGGTGCAGAGGTGAGTGTATTAAATACAGCTGTATGCGCTCCCAGTGATTGGTGATGCGAAGCTCCACCGGTTCTGTAACATGGGTTATAGTGAACAATGCACTTCCATTAAGTGCGCTCGCTTTAACCGGTTTACTCAACGGGTCAACCCGAAGCCCCAGTCTTTGTGCTAACCCCCAGTCGATTAGGCTCTCATCTGCCCCTGAGTCAATCAATACCCCCAGCTCTAGGTCCTTATCCCGGTGCTTAATCCTCACTGTGGTCAATCGGCGTGGAGTAGGAGTAACTTCGGCGACTTGACTCACCGACTGGTTGGCCTTTACTGGACAGGTGGTGATGAGGTGGCCACGCTCGCCGCAGTAAAAGCATCTGCCCTCCTGGTAGCGTCGCTGTCGTTCCTCTTGAGAGAGCCGGGCCCTCCCCATCTGCATGGGCTCCTCCTCGCCTCCGGCACGGGTTCTTGAGAGTCGCTCAGGGGAGGTTTGACGCGATGCGGCGCCCCAGAGCGTCGGGGAAGGGCCAGGTGCAGCGGGTGTCCCTCTGGGCCCACGCTGCCGCCTCCGTTCCTGTAGGCGGTTGTCGGTGCGGATGGCGAGGGCGATGAGGGAATCGAGGTCCAGAGGCAGGTCCAATGGGACCAAGAGGTCCTGGATCTGGTCGGAGAGCCCTCTCAGAAAAACATCGTAGAGGGACGTGGGGTTCCACCCACTCTCCATCGCCAGGGTGCGAAAACGTATGGCGTATTCACAAACGGACTGTCCACCTTGCTTTATCTGACTGAGCTCACGAGCCCTTTCTCGGTCTGTTGCCACAGGGTCAAAAACAAGTCTGAGAGCGTCGGCAAACTTCTTTGGTGATGAGCAAACTGCCGAACTCCTAGCCCACTCAGCGGTGGCCCATGCCTTGGCCCTTCCCGTGAGATGGGACATCATGAAGGCAACCTTGGACCGTTCTGTGGGGACAGTGAACTGCGGAGAGTGCTCGAAGTGCATTTCACAATCAATGATGAAGG